CATACGTATAAATGTATATCGATATAAGGCGAACATATCGCGCTCCATTCAAAACTAATTTTACTGGAATCCCGAGGAGCTTTTGATTGCCTAAATATTTTAAATGATTATTTAAATATAGAGAAAAAATTTACGGGTATGTAATTACGCACTATGATTGTTCGCAAATAAATTAAATCAACGCCATATTTTATCAATGAAAAAAAAGCATTTGCTTTAAAACTCCATACTTTAAATTGTCCTAAAAATTCAGAGTAAAAAAATCGAAATTTAGACGAAAATTTTTGGAATTTTTCTATATGCTGTATATAGTTTGAATCCTCGATTTTTATGGATTAAGTTAAAGCAATAACAAATTTTTACTCGAAAAATATTGCGAATATTAAAAAAAAAATTACTTTTTTGAGTCACTGTATTTGTCTATAATAACTCGAGTTGAAGTTTTTCAAATAATGAAGTTTCATTGTCGCCTTTAGTTTCATCACTTCCGTTTTTGGTGTGGTAGTTAAATAAAAAGTTCTTAAAAACAATTTTAATTTTTATTGAAATAGCTAAAAAAAAAATAAAAAAACTAGAGTTTTAATTCAAATAAATAAAAAAATAACAAAACTATAGTTTTTATTAAAATAGTTATAAAAAAGTTATTGGTAGACATTTCCCAGATTTAGTAGATTTTTTTCAAGTGGATGGTAAATATTTTTTTTTCGTCAGTGGTAACCCTGATACCAACCCATGCATGGGAGTGACGTGTTTCCAGTGTTGACGGAACACTTCAGCAGACATATCAAAGCGTAGCGGCAAAAGCCAAACAACAACAACGGTGCGCTGCTTTAACGCCGGTAGACTGGTTGGTGAAAATCCTGTATGAACTTGCATACACTTACATGTATATATATACGCTGACCCCTCGTACTGTTCGCAACGAAAAAAAAAGTCTGCCAACAAACCGCGACAAATTTCGAACACTCACAGCACCAGCCGCCAACTGCCTGCCACAGTGCCAAGCGCCCACAAGCTGCATTAAAACAAAGAATCACCCGCCGACGACGTGCGCTCCGCTCCGGCAAACGAAAAGGACATTCAAGTGATGAATTGTTTGTTGTTATTTACAGAAAGTAACCGCATCCAGCCAAGTGACGAGGAGGAGAAAGTATACAAAAACCCCAAATGCACGAAGCTGAATAAATACAATAAATTGTGGAATGCCTTTTCGTTTTTCTGTACTCTCTGGCTGGAATTTAATTTTTGTAGTAAATTTTGCATAAACGAACAAATAAAAGTGTGCCTGGGTAATGTAAACGGTTTAATGATATGTAAATATTTTCAGTAGTAAGAAAGTTGCTGAACGCAGTAGTGGATCAACAAAAAAAAAAAACAACGTGTTTCCCACTTAGGACTTAATGATATAATCCAAGCACACAAAAGTGGACGTGGCAAATTGTTAAATCACTTGAACAGCGAGGTAATTTGTCAATTTCAGTAAAAAAGAGAAAATTTGGGATATACAAGCATCTGACTAATAATAGATACGATATAGAAAATTTAATTAAAATGCATATTGAAGCATGAATTTGAGCATTAAACGTTGCCCAAAAAGTCTACATAGCAACACAATTTAATTTTTCCCATTTTTACATGAAGTATTTTTATATGTACACTAAGGTGGTCCAAAAAATAGAAGCCGGTATTTTAACGGTTTGTTCATTACCAGTTTATGCTTATTTACCATTTTATTATAGTAACTATTTTGCATAGGTCCCCCAAAACCCCAAATAATTCAATGGGGGGAGGGGACTATTTAAAAACCGTTAGTAAAAAAAAAGACCGGAAGTCTGCTGAAAAGAAACAAAATTTTCTGATCGAAAATATTGGTTTTCAAGGATTCTTTATAATTTTTTTGAAATTTGTTTTTTATTTCTCATATAAAATACATGGAAAACTTTGACGGTGTGTGCGAACTTGATGTCAAAAAAAAAAAACAGAGGTGTGTTTTTTCGGTATAGAACAGTCCTAGGTGGCAAGCACCTTAAAATTCCGACTTTATTTATTTTTTTCTTACCACCCCAATATACATATTCACGTATGCAATTTCTTATACTGTTTATTTATAGTAAATTAAATCACCTACACACATACGCACAAATGCTTTCAATTTAACTAGTGTTGCCAGGGTGAAAAAGGACACATGTTTACAATTCGTACGTCATTAATAAATTTTGCTGCCAATACTTGAGCACCGTAATCAATCATTTCTCAAGAAAAGCTATTAAATTGGCAGAAGGTGCACACACCTTTTTCAACTTATTGCTGTGTTGTAGTTAGTAGTTATAACTCATTCGATTGAATGTTAAATATGACAAGTACAGACGGGTTTATGTACATTGCATTTGGTCAAAAAATTAAAATATATAAATAGCGATAAGCTCCGTAGCTGAGGTGAAAAGGGATAAGGAGAATAGATTTTGATAAGTATATGTATATCGATGGTTCTCTGCTTTAGACAAGAATAACAGACATGAGGCCGTTAACAGTAGTGAGAAGGATGTACAGCTGCATGGAAATTATAAAAAATGCAATAAATAATGTACTTCTTAAATTGAGGGCTTAAATATAGTAAAACTGCGTTTTTAGTTTTTCACTCTGACATCAGAATTTTTTTCCAAAGGACTTTGAAATTTTAAAGATGTGGTTAATTCAAAAAATTATTTAAAAAAATCAGTGCAATAACAGTATGGTCATCAAATGAGAGAAAATTCTGTAGGATTTAAAAACAATAAAGTTTTTTGGTTTGCAAGGACGAATATGTATTGGAATGCGCTTTTAATAAATTTGATCTTTTTAAGTTAATAAAGTTTGCAGGACGAAGGTCGATGTTGAGGTCGTTCGTATATTAGAGCTCAAGGCAACATTTTTTTTTTCAAAAAAAAAAATTGCACATTTTCAAGGATATTTAAGGACAAAATTTGTAAAGAACATTTTTTATGTCCAAAAATGTATTGTTTTATAATTCTACAGATTTTTTTCTTTTATATGATATCCTTATTGTTATCCTACATTACACTGAATTTCTGAAATAATTTTTTGAAATAATCTTTTTTCCTAACGTCAGAGAGAAAAACTGAGTACGGAGTTTTACTATAATTTACCCATAGTTCCGCGAATATATTGATTTTTTTTTTTGTGTGTAAAGTTTATTTTCGCACAATGTAATAAACCACACACAAAAATTTGTTTGAAAGAAATCCGGTGGTTTTGGCATGTTTTTTCGAAGAACACTATTTTTTACAAATTTTTTTAATGCCAAGGAGTAATTATGGCTCAATGGCAATATCTTTCCATGTAATTGAATCACTTTAGCTTTCGCACCCATTTTGTTTGATATCAAAATGTTGAATTTATTTAGAGCGCCACGATTAATTCGCATAGAGTATTAGAAAAGCACACCGTGGAATAGTCCCATAAAAAATATGGCAAAAATTAATAATTGCTCAGGAATGAAGAAATGTGAAAAAGCGCAGCGATTGGGAAACTGTCAAGCTGGGGACGGAAATTGTAGTTGTTACCGTATTTTAATGAGACTCGATGTGTAGCTTAGTTTTAACCACAAAAACTTAAGTTTGAAAGATGGCCAAAATCGGCCCACTGATACGAACATCAGTCATGTGTATGTTAATAGGCATGTATAGAGTCGAGCAAGCCCCTTAGTTGACTTAGTTGCACATTTCTAAAATTGGACTTTCCGCTACTCTCAGACCACTGTGCGCCGGTTTGTGGAGTCGTTATGGAATATTACTTTAATACGGATATCAAAAAAAAACTATTGAAAATTACAAAAACAAATTATAAAATCGAATCGATGTCGACTGTTTTCTTTGCTTACCAATCATTTCCAGTTTTGGACACATTCTGTCGCTTTCTACCGATCTGATGTGGCTTGGGCTCAGCAACCATATTGACATCTGTAATAAAAATTTTAAACTTATAGTGTTCTATTTTTTTAAGTATTTATGTACATATATATACTGTCATTTAAAAAGAAGATGAGGTGCACCTTATAATGCATTACTAGAATCGAAACTGTAATAGCAAGAGCACGCTTTTAATTTTCTTTTACTATAAAAAATATGCAGCATCATGCAGGTGCAATGAAATTTTTAGTAAAAGACCGCGTATATTTTTTTATACAGCCTTCTTTCTCATATTACTAAAAAAATGTTTTCTGTAGATAGGCTGATCTTGGCCTCATATTAAAGTGGTGCCAGTTGTTCGGATGAAATTTTGTCGACAAAGTGTATTGTATTTCCGGTTTCCATAGATAATTATAAGAGAAAGCGTAGAAGAAACCACACGGAAATGAATTTCTAGCCTCAGCATTTTTAGAAGAAAACTTTACCTTTTCACAAAATTTCATATTTTTCGTTCTATGCTATTTTTGCAATGCTTTAATATTTTGTTGCAACTTTTGAATACAAAATGCCTATGATTATGATTAGTGATTAAATGCGAATCCACCTATTTGTATAAACACTTTTTACAATTTGTTAATATTTTAAGTTTAAAGTTTACAATACAGATTGATGTACGTATTTCCTTTTTACAAATGATTTAATTTTATTTATATTCATTCACTCAAATACAAAAATTGCTTTTTTTCTGCCTCCCATATTGTGATATATACATACATATGTTTGTATTTCATTTAACTTGGGTATGATTAAATTAAATTCGACTTTTCAAACAGGTGGCAATCCTGTTCAACATATTTTCAAACTACAACCTTCCTAAACTTTATTTCGCCTAACACCTTTATTTTGGTAAACATTTCAATTACCTAAATCCCCTTGACCAACTTTAATTTGAACTTTGCAAACAGGTGGCAACTCTTTTAGGGGTATTTTAGAAATTACGCCTTTTCAAACTCTTCTACTGAAAGCCCAAAAATATTAATTAATCTAACTTAATAAATTATTTGAATCTAAGTTTTTAAAAAGGTGGCAACCCTCTTCAAAATGTTTTAAAAATGCAACCTTGTTAACCTTTTTCATCTGATACTGATGTTGTGATACATATTTCAGTCGCCAATTAACTTAATTTGAGTTGTATTTAAATTTTTACAAAGGTGGCAACCCTCCTACATGCGGTTTAGAGTGGAAGCTTTTTCAAAACTATTACGGTTGATATCCAGATTTTAGTAATTCATTTAACTTAGTTGAATTGAATTTTTTAACCGGTGGCAACTTTTTTCTTGTTCTTGATGATCCTTCCCCTGGCCCATACGAAAGATGGCACCTTTCTTTAGGATATTTTCGAAGGTGAACATTCTTAAATTTCGTTCGTTTGACAGCTATAGTATAACATTCCTTTTATCTAATCAAGCTAATGGAATTTAATTATTTAAACAAGTGGCAACAAAACGATTTTTTAAGTGAGCTTTCTTAAATCATTTGACATTTAATATCCGTATTGCGATATTTAATCAGTCCTATTAATTGGATTTAATTTTAATTTTAACAGGCGGCAACTCTCTTCAAACCTAGCGATTAATTTTCTCCCCTCCGAGATCAACACGTTGGTACATATGCGTCTTTCTAGAATCGGACCTCGGCAATATAGAGGAAATGAAATTCAGCACCATTCTACTAATTCCTCTAAGTACTAGCCAGGTTCACAATATTTCTTCAAATCCAAAAAATGCTTATCCCTGATTGAAGATATGTAAAAATATCCTTGGTAGGGTTTATAGTTACAATACTAAAAAAATAACTGAAAATATTTTTAATCATATAATTCTTAAAGTTGGCATAATGAACGGAAAAAGTAATTATTCACGGAAAATAATTCTTTAATCAAGCTCAAGAAATAACAGCAAAAAATAGCAGAACAACTTCCGCCATGCAAAACACAGTCATTTGTCTTAATAAAAGTCGTAGCAGATTTTTCAAACCATGCACCATTCGCCACGCGTACTGTACATTAGACACAGAGTTGGATTGTCAAAAATATTCAAAAACATATTTACAGCAATCCATAACCAGTGAAAAGGGTGTGACAACCGCAGAAGCTAAGAAACCAAAAAACAAAAAAAAAACAGCATTTGCGCGCAAAGTTACGCCATGCCACGACATGCCACTCATCATAATTCATAGAGTCTGCAGACCGTTGCCATCACGCCACGAAAAACATTTTTTAGGATTGTATGCAGAGCTGCGACCACTCGTGGAAATGAGGCGACGACAAAGCTTACATAGTAAAGGGCGTAAATTTTGAAATTTTTACTTCGTTTTTTTTTTTTTGTGTGGTCGTCTTCTAGACACTAGCTAAAATCCATAGCACACACCAAGCTCACACAGCCATGCCACCCATCCGTGTGCCTGTTGCTTCTACTCCTCCTGCTGACAACAACTACAAATTACCGGTATGACTGTTAGAGGCAGTCTGTTGCTAAACCCGAATCTCCACCTTTCCATCCACCCACCCACACAATCAAAACCTCGCCTGGCCTGTCTGCTCGCTATAATTAAGATTAAGGATAAGAAATAAGAAGGATTTCCGTACGACTTTAAAAGCTAAGCGGCAAAGCGGTTTAAGTGCGTCGGATGATGGGTGGTTGGCGTTATGATTTCAGCCGTTTCGCTATTGTTGTTGGCGCTCGTTTGATTGCTGTACCACGCTTGGGTGTGGATGCTGTTGGTGGCAGCAGAGTGAAGCTCTTCAGCAATGCTACTCAACCACTTGCACCCCATCTTAAGTTCATTGTCTTTATCAGTTGAGTTAGCGCGTAAATGGAGCGTATCAACTAAAGTCGTTTAAAGTATTTCGCTGCTGAGTGAGTAAATTAAAGACTAAAGAGGGCTTAAAAAGGAGTTCGGCACTTCGCAGTGCAACAGTTGGCAGCTAGGTGGAGAGCTTCCTTTTTTTTTTTTTTTGAAAATGAAGTGTGAAATTTTTGCTTAATATTTTCAGCAGCTCATTTTTTTACATATGTACATAAGAGTGTTATGCATTTTTTTCGCTTTAAAAGCATCGCACAACTAATTGAATTCCATAAAGCGCTCAACCCAACGACCAACATGCCATCACTTTGCGCAGTTAAGAGCGCCAGTTCCACTGCCAGTGCCAGTGCCAATTTTCATTTTCTACAGGTGGCTGCTGACTGCATAAAATATATGTACTTCCTCATAGAGCAAAAGTAAACACATGCATATGTACATACTTGTGTCATGCTTGCTATATATGTATGTGTGTATGTATGAATATCCATAGGACATTTGTGTGAAAATATTTGTTTGTAGATATGCCACTGTTAAGTGCATTAAGATGTTCTCACTGAAATCGCATATTTTCTGCATTGTTGAAAATAAATTTGCACCTCACATACAGGCCAGCATACATATGTATGTACACGTGTGTGAATAAGTATACGTACAACCACATGGGCATATGGACAGGTGCAATTGCTGTGCCACGAGTACCGCCAGCGCGCACTAACAGGAAGTAACGCACTTAGCAGGCAAGTCAGCCGACTTCATTCCCATTCATTTTAACACTTACATGCACAGGAACGTGCAAACCTTTGTACATAAGTATGCATATTAGGGTGGTCCAAAAATTAATGTAAAAAAAGTAAAGTCGGATTTTGTATGCTATCTAGGATTGTTGTATACCGAAAATAAATATACCTCAATTTTTTTTGATCAAAAATTATTTAGAAGGCTCAAAGTTTTCTATTTTTTTATATGGGACTAAAAACAATTTTTCTTAGAAATACTAGTATAGAATTCTTGAAAATGTATACTTTTCATACGAAAAACTCTGTTGCTCGTCAGGAGATCCCCAATAATAATACCCAATTGTTTATTTAGCCATTTTTTCATAGTAACTATATTTTATAGGTCCAGCAAAAACCTCAGAAAATGCAATAAGGGGTTCAATAAAAACCCTTAAGTTTAAAACAATAAAACAACTGTGTTTTATTATTGGTCTCCTGAAGAGAACCAGAACCAATCGAAAAATATGGATTTTAAAGAATTCTTTCCATTTCTACCAAAAGTTGTTTTTCCCCCACATAAAATGCATAGCAAACTATGAGCGCTGTGAGCGACCTCTAAATATTTTTTGATTTCAAAATAAATAAAAAAAATTCGGTATAAGACAATCCTAGGGGTTGGGAGCATTAAAATTCCGACTTTACTTTGTTTTGGACCACGCTAATGTACATATATAGTTGTAACTACACATGCATTGAGGAGTAAAAAACTCATATGCAACTCTGTGATTTTTCCACATCCTTACCTTGCCATTTTTATAACTTACATATCAACGTATGTATGTACATATGTATATTAGACCGCACCATCTTACAAGCAAACAAAAAATTCGACTTACACCTTCCAGTCTAAAGTATTTTTGCAAGACAATTCCGACATTATTTTTATTTTTTTCTGACGTAAGGGTCGCCTTTTTTCGGTCATATTTACATTCGCCTATAAAGTTTTTTTATTTTTTTTTTTATTTTTTTTTGTAGTAATTTTACTGGAATGAACGAAATACTTCCTAGGCAAAAGTTTAATAATTTTTGGCAAGCTTCAATTTACTGACATATGAACTTTCAAACAGAAAGACTTGCCTCCTCGATACAAAACCTACGATATATCGCACTTTAAGATCCGACTGTAAATGCAGAAGATATGATGAAAAATGTAAAAAGACGACCCCTACGTTCGGCAAAAAAAAAACGAAAATGAATTGCAAAAGTACTTTAGATTCGAAGACGTGCGAAGAAATTTTTTTGCTGGTACGCTCTAATGTACATATGTATATCCTGTAGAATATATGCATATATGTACACGAATATGTACAGTAAAGTGAAATAACGTTTTTAAACGTTAATGAAATCGTTGTGTGCTCAGATATGAATTACTTTCTACCTGTTCCATCATCATACAACAACTACAACAACAACTTGCATGTAGTGAAATTTCATTAAGTGCACATTATTGCTTCACCCAAGTGATGCAGAGCTGCAAAATACTCGCGTAGGCTGCGAAAAGGGCAGACTGCAACCAGTAATATTTTTTGCGATGCAAGAAAGGTGCGTGAATTAAATCTTAAGACCAGTCGTGTCAAGAGCAATCGATTTACCTTGAACTTAAAAAGAGCGACGTAAGTGTCTTCATAAATCTGCATATACATTTATACGGCATTTCAAATAAAATACATAAAACAAGCTTCTGAACATGAAGATTTATGGTAATGAAAAAGTTCGAATTCGATTTTTTACCAAAATATGTACGCTTTAGCCACCCGAAAAAAATGTATGTTGTGGAGCATAATCCTATTGTAATTTGACTACTACATATAGATGTTTACGTTTGGGCATAGCTTGATTGGAGCCATCATCTCCGCAGGGTTATTAAAATTTGTATTTTACCGGCAATGCTAATTTTGTACGCTTTACGAGTATAATAACTTAGATAGTCATAACTCCTTAAACCTGGGCATAATTGGCAAAGCAAAATTTTATTTTACTTAACTTGACATTAGGTCAGAGGACGATGGGGAATTCTTGTGTAGAAAGTTTCATACTCGGGACATGTTGGTCCGCTGAACCGCTACATATCCAAAATGAAATTGAGAAGGCCCAGGAGTTCGACCTCCGAATTCTCTGCCAGACTTAGGAAAAAAGGTATGTATTTATTTAAGTCGCTTCCCCTGCTTCCCCTAACCGCAAAAAATTTTCAGTTGAGTTCTTTTATTCTCATCGCGTCAACTACTGCAGGGTTTGCTCGTTGATATTCGCCCTCGTTGGAGTTTCGGTGGAATGACTCTGTGATGACGTCAGTAAGTACTGCAGATCTGTTGAATTCCAGAAGATCTTCCGCCTTTATTATATTTTACCTCGGCCATAACCACCTTTTTCGATCCTTGTTCCAAGCAACATAAAAAAGTCAAACATTGTTCGCTCATCGGCCGCCACTCCTCCAAGTGTAATTCTGCCTTGAAAAAGCTTCTCAATAAAACCATTTGCCATTCAGAGATGGCGTCAAATTGTAGGTCCCTCCTTTCTCAGAGTTTTACATGGGCATCTATTGAGCAGGGTTGGGTACGCTGCACTAAATATTTAATGCACTGATCATTTCATTACCACGATTCGTGTAGTGGTAGTGAAATTTGAAATACATTACCACTAAATTTTAAGTTTGCTTTGCGAATGAAAAAAATGCAGTACGTACAAGCATGCTTATGTACGAGATGGGGTATGAGTAACATTTTTTCCTGCTCCTATTTTATACAAAACTAGCAGACCTGGCGAACTTCGTCCCTCCCAAAATAGATTATTTTTATTGAAACATTTTGGTCTAACATTTTCACCAACAGTACACGTTCATGATTTTCAGTGACGCATTTATCTTCTAATATTGCGGTTTATATTATATTAGACCTTAGCATATATTTTTTCAAAAATAATTTATGCACAATTTCAAGGATATTCCAGGATACAATTTTAAAAGGACTTTTCAATACCTCATAGACCATATGCACCTAAAATTTTAATCGGATTTATTTCTACAGAATTTTTTCCTTAATTTGATACCCATAATGTTTTTTACATTGCACTAAATTTTTTAAATAATTTTTTGAATTAATCATATTTTTCCAAAATCAAAGTCCGTTTAAACAAAATCCTGACGCCAGAGATAAAAACTGCAAATGCAGCTTTTATTGATTCTTTTGTGTGTAAAATTTACTGTCGCACGGTATTATAATATAAATTTCTAAAATCAAGTCTTCCTGATATTTACCACCAGAAAAACATTAACTTCCGTGTCATCAAGAAACAGATTAAAGAAATGCCAAAAGCAGCGACCTAAAACGTTTTTCGCTTTCAATGAGATTGCAATCGAAGCTTGGTAAGACAGGTGGAGAGACGACAAGCTGCCTTTAAATATGCTAAGCTTGTACACACACATCCCTACTCATAGAGTACCATCCAATGCTTTTTTGTTTTTGTATTACAATGCCATTTCACGAAAATTTAACAGCAGACAACTTGCTTGCTTGAGTGAGTCGGAAAAGAAAATTCGCGTAGTTGTTAAGAAATTTTTATGCATCCGCTTTGCGGCCAATACCCCGGAAATGAAAGAAAAAATTATCGCTGTTTTAACAGCGACTTGAAAGGATTGAATGGGAGCACGAACAAGAAATACTTACTTTAAAAAATAAAATAAAAATAAAAATAAAAATCTATACTAAAGGATTGTCAAGAAGTCAAAGAACGCTACGAGAAGCAAAGTAGAGTGGCGTTGCGTAGGTGCAAGTGTTGAAAGAAATTTCCAGCAGCGAATGTAGAATGCAGAAAGACGACCGCAGACGCGCGCTGTCGACAAATCTTAAGGTTAAGAAAATTTGCAAGGCTGAGTAAAAGGAAAATTGCAGGCAGGCAGTGGTGGCGCTGGTTGGTGGTGGTTGGTTGCAAAGTTGCGAAACGCCGCATTTGCCGCCGATGTTAATGCCAGTCAGTGAAGCCATTAAAAGTGGCAGTTACAAGTAACAGATTAAGCAGTAAAAGTTTTAGACGGCCAATTGGTCGTCTATTTGCGGAGCTAAGTAGGTTAGGTAGTTGGGACTTTTTCGCATTTCGCGGCTAACTACTTCAGTAGAATCGTAAATTAAATTGAGCGAGCTTCATGAGGAAAGTATACATAGTTAGATGAATTTTTAAATACTGTCTGTCTAAACTGTAAAATAAGGCCACATATGTATGTGTGTATCAAATACTGCATTTACGATTTCCGAAAAAAAGCCTTCAGGAGAGTTTTCTATCCCCAATAACGCTTTTATATTTGAGTTTTGAGAAAGCACACGCGGAACACTGCGAGGGAAGTTGATTATAATACTATAACTATGCATACTATATCCTGGTGAATAGGACGAGCTCGGTCTTAGACAGACTGGTGGAACGACGGGATTCAGCAAATTATTTTTAAACTAAGTTTAGGTAACCCGGCATGAGTTTATACGGATTGCCTAGAAGCTCGAAGGCAGGATATCCTCTCTTTGCCAGTACCTTCAGAATATCGTTAGAAAACTTAAGTCAGTTGGCACTTTCATTACAACTACTTTAAGCTATCTTAGTAAGGCGGCGAAAAACTCTACGTCCAAGTAGAAGTTCAGTGGCATTTTGGAACTATAAATTTCGTATCCAGGGAATCCAGGAATTTTACTAAACGCCTTCTCGGTATCGATATGCAAAACATATTCCACTGCCCTTAGAGTGGGTGTGCTGAGAGGGGAACGTTACAGAGTCTCATTGCGAAAGTGCCTTCGGATAAAAAAAATAAATGTCACCCGCTCGGTCGTCCACAGTTTAGAGATACAGGCCCCAAGCACGCAAATCTCCGAAAGTTGCAGGAGGAGAAATATTTCATTTACGGTTTAAACTTAGTAAACAGCTCTCAAGAAAAATGAAAAATTCATATAATATAACATTCAAGATATAGCTAGCGATAGAGAGCCAAATTTTGCTAAGTCCACTTTTTATGAAAACTCATATTTTGATACAGGAAGCAATTGACATTGAAAATGCATAGTTTCTAAAAGCATTAAGCTAGCGATATTGGGGTTCAAACCCCCTGTGAAGCGAAATATGCATACAAATTTTCCATCATTTTGTTTAACATAATAATGGTAAAAAATATTTTAAGTTCTCAAATATTTAAGATCTTTGTAATTTAAGCCAGAAAGGTGTGTCCGCAACGCTAGGATTTGTTCATATGGCCGTACTCGTACATGGCTTATGAGTAACATTTTCCATGCTTAAGTTTCAATTGTTATTCATTCGCAATGCAAACTTAAAACGAAAATATTTTGGAAAAAGTACCTAAAATTGGGTTAACGTTGCTCGGCGTTTTTTGTGTCATTTTAGAACCCCAACATTGTAATAGAAAATATTTCTTCAGGGTTTTCTTGATACCTGGAAAAGTTGTTATGAACAAATGCTAAGCATTCTCATTGTTCTATAACATTGAGTGAGAAATTGGAATGCCTATGAAGAATTGCTATAACCCTAAAGACTACTTCGTATTGGCACTGCAAATACGGAGCCTGCTTCATAGTTATTTTGAGTATTGACATTATTAAGGAGGGGCTTAGCAATTTTAGTTTCGCATACGCTTAACAGACCTTAGACAAACCCACTTCTCTCATCTATATATACACAAATACACATTCCTCTCTACTCACCCAACGTTTGGCTCAGCACCGTGCGCCCATCCTCGCCATGGCAAGCGTTGCGTGCATCAAACGGATTTGTGAACTGTACAAATGCATAGCCCTTATGCATTGATATGCCTGCAAGTAACGAGAAAGAGAAAACAACAACAAAAATTTCATTATTTTTACTTCAACTAAGCAGGTTCAGAATATAGTCCACGCTTTCACTTACCCGCCAACCGTCCATAGATCTGAAACATGCGTTCCACATCTGTCTTCGAACACTGGAACGTATTCAA